ACTCAGCCTTATAAGCACTGCCTCCACATGGACAAACAGGTTAGTCACATGCAAAAGAGGGCCATTGCCTAACAATAGGCTTGATTAGTTCTATTGTTCACGACACGGGTCAGATGATGGAGCACATGACCCTCAATGAACAATAGAGCTAATCAAGCCTATTGTTAGGCGATGGCCCTCTTTTGCATGTGACTAAATAGAGCTAATCAAGCCTATTGTTAGGCGATGGTCCTATTTTGCATGTGACTAACCTGTTTGTCCAGGTGGAGGCAGTGCTTATAAGGCTGAGTTCACCTGTAACTCATCAGACTGAAGAAGTCTCTTGGAGGAGAGACGAAACATTTCACTAAAGAAGAACCATCCAGAGGACCTACTTATTTTTTCTTTTTGATAAACACTAAATTATTTTCTTGCCCTGTATGAGACAGAATAAAATCCAGAAAAGGCTAAAAAGAGAGAATTTGAAGCTGCGGTCAGTCTTTTCTGTTAAGCATGAAGAATGTTGTTCCTGATGTAGACATCCTGCATGAAACTTTTACCACTCAGAGCCTTGACACTGGCGGCCATGTTTAACCTTTAAATACGTGCTGCTCGGGGTCTGTGAGGGACGAAGGACAAAAGGCCACGGTCATGACGTCTGACCCCTTTAACTGTCTGGAAGTGCGGATTTTATAACCCACCATTTTAGCAGCTCACGGACACAGTAAATGTCCGGCTCGGTGAAAAAACGGGTTGAACTCGTAGCCGCGCCCTGACCACTGCTGCAGCTCCAGATCCTCACACGGCTCTGAGGTCTCCCAAACACRCACGGTTAAATTTAGACGAGCTCAGACTGACCACAGCCACAGTCAGTCTTCCTGAAAGCGGCCTTTTTGTTATTTCTTCCTTTTTTCTCCCCTCTCTCCTCCACTCAGGGTGTAGTTTTCCTGGGAAACATTTGTTCACCGACTCRATCCCTCTGCTGGGTCACCCCCTGCCCCCCACCTCACTCTCTGTTCATTTCTCCTGATTTACCCATCAGGCTCAGGAGCTGAGCTACGTGGTGTTTGCACAGGGTTAGCACTCTCAGTTCTGGAGGAAATTAGATGTTCTAGTCGCAGCCCTGGCAGGATTCACATTCCCCAAAATACTGATGGAATTCTTTTTTTTTTCTGTGTCATTTGTCTGAACTRAGAGGCTCATATTGTGTTCATATAAGGATTCAAGCAGGACAAATTCTCTTAAACTCATGGAGAGTTAACTAGAAAATTAGTTTTATACTTTTTGGAATATTTAGGTTTTATATAAGATAAGACATGTAAATATAATCCTTTATTTCTGAATACAAAAACGTGTGGAACATTTCCTCTGATCAGTGTAGTATAAAGCAGTGGTTCCCAAACTTTTTATCTTCTGACCCACAAAGTATCCATGGCAAAAACTTGTGACCCCAAATATTACTGGTCTGAGTACACGAACTTTGTTAATAACCCTAAAAACACAGGCTTTTTGACAATATAAACAGTCTATACACAAATATAAATACTTATTTTTTTTACTTATTTTGTGTTTTTATAATAATTGTAGGGAAAATATTACATCAGCAATTATTTTATTACCCTTTAAATTGATTTCTGTAGATTATCCAAGGTGCTTCATGACCCATAATTGGGTCCCAAGACCAGCTTTGGGAACCAAAGTGCAGTGGTTCCCAAACTTTTCAGCTTTTGACCCACAAAATAACAGTAGCAGAGACCTGTGCCCACAACTGTATTTGGATGATAAACATTTGTATCAGGTCAACAAAACATGAACATAGTAAAAAATATTTTTATACTACATTTATCCATTTTAAATATACTAAACTCACTCCTTTGTAACAACTAAGGCAGAAATGTCATTAATTCAGAAAATCTTTTCAGGACCCCACCTTGATGTTTCGGGACCCCACTTTGGGTCCCGACTCCAACTTTGGGAAACACTGGTATAAAGTACCTCAAAGTGATACTTGAGTAAAAGTACAAGTGTATTATCACAAAATTACGTTGGTAAAAGTTAAAGTCTCCTCTAAGAATATTACTTGAGTAAAAGTCTTAAAGTATCTAATTTTTTTGTACTTATCAAAAGTAATTTTCTGACATAACATATACTTAAGTATTAAAAATAAAAGTATTGAGTAAAAATGAGCGGTTAGATTTTCCAAAATGCATTTATTGGGAGGTGACCTCTCCAAAAAAATATATWTTTTTAAAACGTGCAGCTGTGATGGATTGTGTACAAACTAATACAGTATCAGAATGGTATACTTTTATACTTCTCATACAACTACAATTAAGTTCACTTTATCCTGGATGCACAAATTTTTAGGAAAGTATTATTTTAACACTAACAAGCTAAAACAAAATAGGAGAAATGACTTTATACTTCTTACCTTTCTAAAAAATATAAGGAGTAGAAAGTACAGATAACTGTGTAAAATTGTAAGAAATAAAAGTAAAAAGCACGATGAAAAATAATTACTTAAGTAAAGTACAGATAACCAAAATTTCTACTTAAGTACAGTAGCAAAGTATTTGTACTTAGTTACTTTACAACTCTGCTTCTGATATAAGAATTTTCCTTTAGAATTGAACTTTTTTAGTTATGATGCTTCACCTTTTCTTTGATCAACTTCATTTGTAACTTTAAAATAAACAATTTAAAGGCATTTGTTCTTTAAATTATTTACACAAAGCAGGTTTTCAAGTATATTTTTTTACTTTCTTGACCCCTAAAAAATTTATTCACATTATTTATTTATTTCTGTTTTAGGAGGGTCCATCACAACTGTTGTTACACCCCTCCCCCTGGCAGCGCGATGCTCACTGGCCCGTACTGTATCTGAAGCCTGATGGCGAGCCATGAAAATGATGCGATCGCCTATTAGCGTCCCTGCTCTCATCATCTCTTTCAACTGTTTAATTCATGATCACATAAAAGGGGGAAACAGAGACGTGTACAGCAGTGAGGGTTAGAGCGAAGTTAAACATTATTTATTTTCTGTTGCGTTAGTTCTGTAATCAAATCTATAAAACCGACTTCTGCAATCTGTGCACAAACCTGGATCACATAAACACAGAAAATAAGTTTTCATTGAGAACTTACACAGTGAAATGCTCCAGATTTTGTTTTACCAGGTGAAAAATCAGGAGGTTCTGAACAACGAGTCTATAAAAAAATAAAAGTAATGAGTATAATTTAATTTACTCAGGGGATAAAAGTTGATTGAGTCATTTAAGAAAACTGAAGATTTTGRATGACCTCTAAATTGAAGGGCTTTGTGGGTTCTGCATTGGAATTTTTAATTATTATTTCAACATAAACCAAATTGTAATGTTTCATAAAAGCCAACAACAATCTGTCAGAAGGAAAAAAAAAACATTTTTTATTGCATTTAGAAACTCTCTGATCCCAGAGTGTTGTACAAAAACTTGCACCACAATTATTCATGTTATCACTGAAAGTGAGCATGAAATTGACAGAGACCCAGTTTCCTTCAAATGGAATTCAAAACACTTAAAAAAAACTTTATTGACTCATTCAAGTCAGAAAGTCTTTTTTCTCCTTTCACTCAGAGGCTCAATGAAACCTTGAACTCAATGATTTTCGTCTCTTTTTTTATTTATCATTGTTAAAATGCAGACAGTGCACGGCAAATATGTTTTTCATTACGGTTCCTCCTGTCCTTACTAACGCACAGCAGTTATGCTTCTGTTTGGTTTCTATAAATAGCGACCTGCCGCCCATTTAGGAGGTGGACGAGTGATAGATCAGCAGGTTTAACCAGCCTTGTATGGGTATTCTCATGTGTCTTGGGTTATTTCTGCGTGCTGGACTCTGGCAGGCTGGGAACCAGCTCTGCAGATGAGAGGAAAGACTCAACCCAGAGCTAACAGTCCCGTAAAAAAAAAAAAGCACAAGTCAGTCAGTTGTTGCACCTCAGGGCAACTCCACCTTAAGAGGACATCCTTTGTGTCTGTGTGTTTGCAGGCGACCTCACTGAGGGTTCCTCCAGTCTGTGAGCCGGTGGGCGTTTGACAGCTTCCCCTCCCTCGTTTCTCCCTCTTTACTTCGTTGGATCTGGCCAATCGGCACCCAAGAAGATCCGGTCACATGACGCTGCCCCCCTTCCTGGTTGCCATGACAATGAGCGCCGGTCCAGGCAGCATCTTGGTGTGATGAGAAGAGGAGGGGGGGCAGGAGGAGAGGCAGACAGAGAGGTGGAAAAAGAAGGAAAAGATAAAAGAGAAGAATCCCAGCCTGAGGAACACATATTTGAACGTAGAGCTTGTGTTTGTCTTTACTCAGTGCAGTAAGTACCCGTTTATACCTGTTTTTAGCATCATTAAATAAAAATGTGGTCATGTGTATTTGATATGACAGATGGCTTGGAAAAAATTGAGATGACATCATGTGAATTGTCTTTGTGCWGTTTAAGAATGTGCAACCCGCCTCACCTTTGGCAGACAAGCCTTTTGTTTGTTGGTTTCAGTCAGCATCCACTGATCCTCATGACAAACCTCTGTGAACAGAGGYGTGGCGGGATCAAGGAGCTCAGCACAATAAGAGGCAGTTTCATAATGTGGTGAAACTCTCTCTGATGTATTATGATCCAGACAAACGTCATTTAGCCTTCAACTTCGAATCTTGAGCCTGTTTGTTTCGGTCGTTGCTGCAGCTTTACGCTTCTTCCTTCGTCTCCCGCTCGTTCTCACACAAGCAGACCTGTTTGCTACTCTGCATCCTCCTGTGGTTTGTTTAATTAGCAAATCTGTGCAAATCCAACTAGGGCAGCTTGTTCTGATCGGAGACCTCGTACAATGTCCTCGTGGAGCTAGAGACAATGAGATTTACCGGCCTAAGGATGTTGCTGTTTTTCAGCGACAGTAACATTATGATATTTTTATTTCACTGGAGCTTAAAAAGATATTTACTTTTCATAAGGAGCTTTCACAAAAAACATCTCAACATAAAAATATAGGTTCAAAAACCCCACTTTAATTACAAACATTGTACACAGTTATTTATTTTGGAAAAGGATTGAATAAAATAAAATATTTTTTGTCCTTTGGTGGGGAAATTCTAGTGTATCAGCAAATAGAAGCACACAGGATAAATTCCACATATTAAAAACTTCAAACAACAATAAAAAACATACAATTGTGACAAAATTATAGGTGAAAGACTATACAGTTATTAAGTGAATATAAATATTAAATATGTAATTTTGTTACAATAAAGTATTGTATTGTTGCATCATATCATGATAGAAGAAATACTTAAAATCCACAAACACAAATGCATTTTATTTTATTTTAATCAGTTTTAGATAAGAGGTTCATTATTTTTATTTGTTTATTATGCTGTCTTTRGGGTTCTCAGTTGATAAAAACAACCTATCTAGACTTATCAATAAAAGTAAAGTCAWTTATTATTTATGGTACACAGTCACGCAACATGGAGTGAGGAATACTTCAGAGTAAATACGAATTTATTGTTTCATGCTAACATCTCCAATACACTCCTTGCTGTTCATGGCTGATTTGAAAATTCCGACAGTTTTGAAGGCAACAGACCTGCTGCGTCATGTTGGAGGAAACCAATCGGATTAAACTAAGTGAAAAGACGATGGGCCACTTCAAAATGTAACAAAACGGGGGTTTGATATTTTGCTTTGACAAACAAATGCAGACTTAAGTAAAATATAAGRTGAATGTATCTCTTCATTGTTTGTTTTAGTCAATATAATTCAAGTCACGTTTGCATTTTTCTATGTTCTGTTACGTTTGTCAGCAATCAGATTTGAACCGCCCCCCCCCCCTCTAAATGGTCTTTTTGGTATCACCCTTCTGTGTCAGTTTCAAGTTGCGCCTTCTACCTCTGCTCTTCTGTCCTGTGCTTTCCTCCCAGAGCATGCCTTAACAACTCATTAGTTTATATTTTTTATTCTGGATTTTACTGTGAAAACAACTCCTACACGCAAAATGGATTATTCCTGGTCATTTACGAGTGGATTATGAACAAGAAAAGAAACTCTGAGGTATGGGGACACATTTTCTCCCGATGTCTTCTTGCTCGCTGAGCCCGATCCACGGAATGTGTTACCTTTGCACGTCTGGAGGTTACACGCTCCGGTGGTTTTAATAGAGCTGCTAACGATTTAACTGCACCGTCCTGTGTGATAAATCAGACATAAAAAATAAACTGCATTACACATGCTCATCGTTCTGTTAGTGCAGCCCTGGTTGTTAGCCAGTTTCTTTCAGTAGGACTCTGTGGAATCTCGTAAGGAAATATCCACATCTGTTGCAAAATGAAGCAAACCACAAGCATTGTTATAATAGCAGTTCTGACCACACGAACATTTAATAATACAAAAATGCCATGGTGAAAYAACTTGGTATTCATTTATTGTTGTGCAATACATTTTTTGAGGTTTGACAACATCTTATTCCTCTTAACACAGCTACAATAGCTCACAATTTACCCTTGAAGACTGACTTAAAAGTTGTGAAAAACTGGGAAACTCTTGTTTTATTACCTTATTAACTCTTCTTTTTTATACATTATGCATTTTATGCAAATATCTCGAATAGCATGACTTATTCCAAAGTGTCTGATTCATTGGATGTAATTCAATAAATGTTATCAGTGATGTGAATTTGATCATGTTCGTGTTTATTTAAAGGTACTGTCTCTCTGATTAGGTCACTGACAAAGACTAAGATAAAGCATTTCTATATTGACATCTTCAGTGATGCTTAAATACATCAAATAATGAAAGCAAGGGTGTAATGTCAAAAACTACATTTGTTTTGGGTTGTTTTTGTGCAAATCCCTTTGTGGTAAAATACAACCCAACACCTGAACTGTGTGCAGATCTGGTTCATGACGCAGAAGCTGATGCTATTCAAATTGTCCTCCCAGCTTGGCCCTGAGTGATGCACGCTTTTATTTGTCAGCTTTTGGTTTTCTTGATTGATGGCACTTTGGCTGCAGCACTTAAAACACATATTGCTCCTGCTGACCCCGATTAGGCCCATGCATTAACCCCCAGCATAAAGTCACTCAGTGGCTAAATGGAGCGGGAAGGTCTTGACCTGACAGGCGTTTCTCTTGTTCTGTCTGAATTCAGTGATTGTACATCTGTTTTATTGATTGGCGCTATTTAACCGTTCTCTTCCTAACATTTCCCTTAAATCCATTTCGCCTCCTCGAAGCAGCTACATTGCTCAACGTAGAGCATCTCACAATCCTGCGCCTGGGCAGGCAGACGCTCACTGGGATGTGCACCGTCTGTTATGGTTTTTGTGTTTTCTCCTGTGTGATCAGGATGTAGAGCAGAGGAGGAGGATGTTTGCTTGGTGGATGAGTCAGGAGATAGCTGCACTTTGGTTTGTTATGAGACCAATAACCTATTATACTGTATTGTAATGCATACTTGTGTTGTTATAAAACTTGATTTGGGTGTTTTTACCAGGTTGGTGTAAGTTCAGTATACTTTCTCAGTTCTTTTTTCAATCAAAGTCATGTTTAAAGGAAAGAAAATACAGTTCATATAAAAAAAATCATAAGGACAGTTTTTTTCTAAGGGGATTAATAACTTCCTGTTGTAGAAAACTGTGGATTTATACAGGAAAAGGTGAGGCCGGGTCACTTTGACCCTTTGCTGACTGCCTCGCGGAGGGAAAAATAAATTCCTTCCTTCATGAGTTTGGAAAAGACACAAGATGAAAGGATAGAAAGAAGGAAGTCCTACAGCAGGGACTCCTGCTGCGTCACGAGTGACTGAATGTTTCCCAGCTTTCAGGTTTGGCCCACAGATTTGTTGCTGTGGTTGACTCATCTGCAGAGCTGTGGTTCCTGCTGATATCAAACTTACACACACTTTACAGCAGGTCAGGACTGCAGTAAGTCCTTAAAAGGACAGATGTGTGTAGTGCTGGGCGGTATACCGTTTTGTACCGAATACYGGTTTTTATTTTTGTAATGATATGAATTTTCTGAATACCAGACATTCCGGTTTAAATAGCGGAACGTTTCGTCGCGGCCGCCAGTGAACTGTTGTTTCCCGGGGGACATTTTTCCTTGCTGCACCGCTATGTGAGTTAGCATGCTAATGTTTGGAGCAGCTAGTTGCAGCAGCGGGTGGCGATTCCGCTGATTATATTGACTGACGTTTAAAAAAACATCCCGTTTTCGCCGTCGCTGAATGTAGTAAACACCTCTTCAGTGATGTGCACRGTTAGATTTAATGCGATTAGTTAATATGGAGACGTTATGCTGTTGGAGACTTAACGTGGTTCTATTGTGAAAAGCCTGCAGGAAGTATTTCGTAGTGGAGTTAGTCGGCTGTCGGCTGAGGACATGAAAGTGCCCGCTGAGCAGCGGGAGGAGAGGAGAGCGGAAAAAGTTCAAAACTTATTTCTAGCGGCAGAACAGGTTAAAAAATGGCTGTCTTATGTTGTTTATTGTTTTTTATCATCCTACAGGCTCTGACATGTTAGATAAATTTGAAAATCAGGTTTTGAAAAAATCCGTAGGACTTGAAAAGATCCGTGAGATTGCTCTATACGCCCGTATACCTGCAAAATGACGTAAAATCCTTATAACTTACGGACAATCTGTACAAGTTGACATGTATGAGCAGGGTTTGTACATTTTATTATCAGCTGAGCTGTGATGAAAAGAAAAATACCGTCAAATACCGTGAAACTAGGCCTGTCACGATAACAAATTTTGCTGGGCGATTAATTGTCTCAAAATTTATTGCGATAAACGATAATATTGCCTGGTGACCGTTTTACAACTAATAATTATAAAAGCGTAATGTGTAAGTGTAATAAATCAATAAACTTTCATTTTTAAAAGAATGTTTAACAAAGTGGACTCTCAGTCTCTAACAAAAAAATGCACTTGAATAAAAAAAAACAACAAAGAACAACAAAATGTAAATTAAACACCACACACAACTAAGACAGTAAATAAACAATATTAAAGAACAGCCTCTCTTTAGAGATGAAGCAAACTACACAGCCTGGTGAGGACCCACTGTTTCTTATGGGGACATAAGCCCAGTTCACATCCCATGTGAAGTGTAGGCTAGGTTTAGGGTCAAATGGTAATAGAAAATACTGGTAAATGAATGAAAGTCAATGCAAAGTCCCCATGAGGATAGAAGAACAAACGTGTCTGTGTGTGTGTGTGTGTGTGTGTGTGAGGAGGGGACAGTCAGAGCGCTGCGGGGGAGGAAATCAGACAGTTCAGAGTTTTCCTCATGAGTTGTTGGGACAGCCACTGGTTTTTTTGGGT